CCAGCAAATGACAAAAGTCATTTACTTGGCTGGCCCCTACCGGGCCCCTAGGGGCCGGCCAAGCAAATGACAAAAGTCATTTGCACCTCCCAAGGGCCGGGGCTGGGAACCTTCACATCTAGTCGCCGGGCTGGCCCCTACCGGGCCCCTAGGGGCCGGCCGCATGGGCGATTATAATGCACAGCCGGCCGGCAAAACACATGTGAAGGTTCGCCGGCCTGGCTGATACAAGGCCCTAGGGCCGGAGCAGCAAGCTGAAAAGGCTGCCGTGGGCCGCCGGGGCCTCGCGCTGATATGAAACCTTAATTCGGCTGGCTGCTCAAAATACCTTTTTGCTGTTAAGGTTTGCCAGGCCTGCTCTACTAGTATTACTACCAGTCCATTACTACTACTACCACTACCACTACCACTACCACTACTCAGTACCACTACCACTACCACTTACTTCTACTTCGACGACTACTACTACTCCTCCTACTACAACTACAACTACTACTACTACTACTACTACTTACTACTACTATTACTACTATTACTATTATCACTACTACTACCACTACTACTACTCCTACTACTACTTCTACTTCTACTTCTACTTCTACTTCTACTTCTACTTCTACTACTACTACTACTACTAGTACGCCTACTACTACTACTACCACCTTTTTTTCTACTTCTACTTCTACTTCTACTTCTACTTCTACTTCTACTTCTACTTCTACTTCTACTTCTACTACTACTACCACAACTACCACTATTACTATTACAAATAGTACTAGTAGTACCAGTCCTACAAGTACTAGTGTTAATACTATAACACTTACTGCTAGTGGCAGTCATAGCACAAGTAACAATACTATGACTGGGACTTGTACTGTGACAAGGCCTGCTGCTACTGCTGCTACCACTACTAGTACCAGCAAGAACAACAACAACTACTACTGCTGCTACAGCCACCCAAATCACTAGTACATGGATGACTACTAGCACAACCATCACCACCTGTTACTACCAGCCCCCTGGGAAACCACTAAAGAAGATCCCACAAAAACCCTCATTAACACCCTTTTTTAAAATGTGCAGCAGCCAATATATGCTTTGCTAGAACCCTGCACAGAGACCCCTATGTATATGCATATGTATAAGTATATGTACATGCAAAGGTATATGTATATTTATATACATATATATATATATACATATATGTAAGCATCCCCAATCACCCACTTTGCCTTCTGCAAGAAGATCATGCAGTGCCTGCAGGCTTGGGGTACAGCCGTCAGAGAAGTAGTCACTTGTAGTGTTACTAGTGATAGTCCTAGTAGTAGTAGTGAGGAGTACTACTAGTAGAAGTAAGTAAGTAAGTAAGCAAGTAAGTAAGTAAGTAAGTAAGTAAGTAAGTAAGTAGGGAATACTACTGATAAGTAGTAGTAGTAGTAGTAAAAGCAGTACTAGTAGTAACAGTAGTAGTAGCAGCAGTAGCAGTAGCAAAAAACAATTTTAGTACTATGAATAGTAAGAGTAGTCGTGTCAGCAGTCATAATACTAATACTACGAATAATTGCAGTACCAGTACCAACAATACTGATACAGAAGTCGAAAGTGC